CATGTGCTGGACTGGCCAAATGGTTAGGTCACAGCACAAAGCATCTTTATCAGGGGGGCTGATGCTTGCCCAGGGAGCATATGCTTGACAGCCATCCTCTAATTTCAGTCCTGTGACTTTTCTGCTGCAAAGCAGACATAGATGGCAATAAGATTTATGTAGAGAAGCAAGCTTATTCCATTCAAAATCCCTTGCTTGTCATTACCATTAGATGCTGCCCATTTCCACCTGTGTTGAAAGCTGCCACCCTGGACAGAGTATGTTTGCCCAGCAGGGAAAGCAAATCTGTTGCTATGACTGTGTTCAGTGCCCTAAAGGAAGGATTTCAGTCCAGAAGGGTAAGTGAAGGAACCAAGTCAACTGGAATTCCCATCTTCCTACCCAACCCAGACATTCATGTTTCAGTCTTATTATGTCTGCTTATTTTCTGTCATGGATCCCAAGCACATGTGTTTATGATATTGACACATATTCTCCTTTCCTCTCCCTACCTTTTGCACGCCTATTCAGGCATATCCTATGTGCAATTACATCCACATGGGAGTAAGCACCATTGAAATCAGCATGGCATACATTTGGGTAGAAATCGTTAAGATTGCATGCCATAGATTCCCTTTTCTCACCATTGAAACTGCAGCCAACACATTTTCATCTTCTGTCATTAACAAATAGTAAATTATCTCCTCTGTTGTATCCACACAGTTTCAATCATTTGGAACAGTTATTTCTTGTCAAATATAGATTTTCCTGATGACAGGCTACTTGGCTGTTTCATGCACTCCCAAGTTCCATTACGGAAAGTGTAAAAAAGAAACACTGAGCCACAAGCTTAGAAATGCAAAAACATGGGGCTGGATGCAGAGATAGACATGTTTAAGGGGAAAACACTGAAATCAATCTGTATACTGCAACGATGAAAAATAAATATGAATAGATTGATTAATACAGCTGAGATGTTCAGAGAGGAACCATCACTTAGTTGAAAAATTAGGCTTTGGTTCATCAGCTCAGTAATACGTTTTGTGTACCGCATAATAGACGGTATCAATAATATTAATAATTATCGTTTCAAGAAATGCTGAAAGCATGCTTCTCACTTTCAGATGCAGATCACTGTGAGAAATGCCAAGATGATCACTACCCAAATGCCTTTCAGGACCAATGTATTCCAAAAAAAATAAGCTACCTAGCCTATGAGGAGCCCTTGGGGGCAATTCTGGCCTCCTTGGCTCTCCTGCTTTCTCTGATCACAGTTGTTGTGATGGGGACCTTCGGTCTGCACTGGAACACTCCCATTGTCAAAGCCAACAACTGGGGCATCACCTGCACCTTGCTCTCTTCTCTGCTTCTCTGCTTTCTCTGCTCCTTCTTATTCATTGGCAGGCCTACAAAGGTGACCTGTGTCTTGAGGCAAACCGTCTTTGGCATCGTCTTCTCCATTGCTGTTGCTTGTGTGTTAGCCAAAACCCTCACTGTGGTTTTGGCATTCATGGTGACCAAGCCTGGGAACAGCCTGAGGAAATGACTTGGGAAGAGGCTGGCAGGATCCCTTATCAGCTTCTGCTCTCTCATTCAAGCTGGCATCTGTCTTGGGTGGCTGGTATCCTCTCCCCCATTCCCAGAGTTTGACCTGCACTCCCAGGATGGGCAGATCATAGTGCAGTGCAATGAAGGCTCCGACATCATGTTCCACCTTATTCTCAGCTACATGGGTCTTTTGGCCATTGTGAGCTTCTCTGTGGCTTTCTTTGCCAGGAAGTTGCCTGATACTTTCAATGAAGCCAAGTTGATTACCTTCAGCATGCTGGTCTTCTGCAGTGTTTGGCTGTCCTTTGTCCCCACTTATCTGAGCACCAAAGGGAAATACATGGTGGCTGTGGAGATCTTCTCCATCTTGGCCTCTACTGCTGGTTTACTGGGTTGCATCTTCCTCCCCAAAATCTACATCATTATATTTAGGCCTGAGATGAACAGTAAAGAGAAGCTAGTAAAGAAGAAGGGTGACCATAGCTGAGAAGGTGAAAGAGATGCCATTAGCCAGGGACCTTATGTTGTGGCAAGAAGATGCTATTTCCTTTGCTTTTATCTTTTTCTCCTTATGCCAGCAATTCCCAAACTTTGGTCTCCAGCTGTTTTTGGACTACAATTCCCACCATCCTTGACAACTAGCCTTGCCAGCTATGGATGTTTGGAATTGTAGTCCAACAACAGCCGGAGACCCAAGTTTGGAAACCCCTATTCTATGCCATCCAAGTGTTCATGGTGGCATACATGGCTCTCCTCTCTCTGTATTGCCTTCACAACAACTCTGTGAGGTAGGTTAGACTGAGAGATTTTTATGTATGTTGTTTTGTTGACTTAATCTTTGTTTTTTGGCCTACCTTTCTATACCCCCAGAACACAAACTAAGAAGAGCACAATGTGAAATACTGTTACTTACAGGGGTCTGCTTCACCAGGGTGTAGTCCAAATGGAATGTTATGTGGAAGCAATTTGCAGCAGGATTGAAAATGGAATAGCAGCCGAGTGATTGAAAAATAGGACATCAAAATCATTTGAGCTCTTGTTAATTTGTGCTAGTTTACCATTCTGCTTTCCAGAATAAATTAGAAGTTGGTGGGACATGACCTTGATCCCAGGAAGACCATAACCACACAGTTCTTAAATAATAGAGGTATCTTTTAAATGAATTTCATTGCTCAAAGTTAGGATATATGTGAGAGAGAGCTTTGTATTCATCTACCTCTTTTTCCTCTTTTGTTTTGTTCTTTTTATTATTTTCTGTTTAGAATAGTTTCTTTTTATTGTATTGTGAAATGTCTGAATAAAACCTTATACAAAAAAAGACGTGTGACACGTGTGTGTGTGTGTGTGTGTGTGTGTGTTTGTGTGTGTGTGTGTTTTAAGAACGAAATCCCCAATGGACCATACAAACATGCAAAGCATCAAGCGTAATATAAATCATCTTGCAGTGGACATACATGTTTAAACTCAGACTTCTGGATGCTGTGAGAATATTTTCTGTGTTCCTGTAAAAGATATTCAGACCAGCAGCCCTACTTACACACACACTAGATACTCTTTATACATATATATAAACCATCTCTGCACAAGTGAGTGCCATCTTTCCATAAGGACCCAGATGTTGTGGGGGGTTGTGTGTGAGGAAATTGCTGTCACCAGAAAAATACAGCAGCCACAAAGTTTTAGTAGCTGATATCAGGGACTATCTACACAATCCTCTAGTAGTTGGGTCAACTGGATGCTCATGGGGGGAGATGGGAGCTGAAACCCACCCTCACCCCTGTCTAGTTTTTCTCCCAGCCATAATAATCACAATCACAATCATAACAACATCCCATCCAATCTGGGTGGCTTATAGCATATCTAAAAACAAGCCTGGAAATCCTGGAATTGAACCAGGGAGGGGGAAAACCTAAAGCAAAACAGCATGGACAGCAAAGAGATTGAAATCTCAGTTCCCCCTTCAGCCTTTTTTATTTTCATGGGAAAAAATGGACCTCACCAAGCTCCATTTTTAAATGTGTGTGTGTGTGTGTGTGTGTACCCAGCTTGAATTTACAGAAGCTATTTTCACAGTTGTGGCTTCTTTGCCATGTGGATTTGCCTATCACGGAATCCCTTCGTGTAGCAGAGGATTCTGGGAAATGTTCTAGTGTAAAGACTACATTTTGAAGGAAGCTGGCCATTCTTGTTGGGTATCAACAATGCAAAGTGAGTCTGTGCCCTTGAGCAAAAGGTGCACTCTTTTCCCCTTTCATTTTAATATCAAACATATCGAACAAAGTACTCCGCCTAGATATGTACTAAGCTCCAGAAGGCAGATGCATTATTTGATGTTAATTATGTGTGCTTATTTTTTATTTAGGGTATTTGCTTTCCAACCCATTGTCAGAAACATAACTGTATATGGTCATAACCATAAATTAAGTCCACACTGGAGGGAATTCCAGGGAAATTGAAACATATTTATCCTATCAATATCTACTCAACATGTAAATTAAGCCCACACTGGAGGGGATTCCAGGGAAATTGAAACATATTTATCCTATCCATATCTACTCAACATATGGCAAGTGATTGAACTTTCATCCTTCTCCCTTCCCTGCCCCAACCCCCAACCTCACCAAGATCCATATAAGAATTGAGGCAGCAGCTTCAGAGACAAACCTGCCCCTGCATAAAGCAATATCCATCACCTCACAGGACAAAACTTGGGTAAGTTGGAGACAATCACAAACTTACTTATGATTCTATGGCTACTGATTTATATTTTGTATTGGGGGCTCTCACTAGCAATATACTCTATACCCACATATCTGTCCACATCCTTCTTCCAGCAAAGTCCCATTCAGTTCTCACAGGTAAGTGAGTATACATATATTATGTGGGTTTGTGGGTTGAGAAGTTAAGAATTAGAAAGCAAGGGCATGGGTGTAGTAGAAGAAGTAGAACACTCCCCATTTAAGCTCCCCACCCTCCATCACCACAGTTACTTATATTCCAGTTGAGCCAAGGAGGGGGGAGTTAAATAGCATGAGGAGGCAAAGAGGGGGAAGTGTTTAGCTCCCCTCAGTCATTTCCCATTTTCTTCGAAAATCTAGACCTCGTCAACCCCCAATTTTAAAAAATGAATAACGCAAGTGATTTCCACCCTAATTTCCACGGAGCAAATTCCTCCCGATCGGAGGAACTCCGCCATTGCCTGGAGGCGCCAACCCAGAAGTCTCGTCAAACCCCAATTTTATTCATTTTTTTAAAAAATTGGGGGTCAACCTTATTTGACTCCATGATACTTCAACAATCGCCAACTTTAAGTTTTGGGTTCTCTCTTCTTTCTCTAATGTTTCCATTTATGATTTTAAGAACAGAAAATACCGATTTACTTCTTCCTGCTATCCCCACATTTACAATGCCAATAAGTAAGGATAAGTTTTTAATTTGCTGCACATTTCCTTCCACTGAAGGTCAACCAGAAGATGGGGGTTGTCACCTACCTTTGCCTTTTTGGTTTCCTGGTCTCCTATTCTTTCCCAGGAGGTGAGTGCTTTAACAATTATCTGGGAATTCCCCAGAAATTTTAATTGGGGTTAAGCATTTATAAAAACAAAACTACTTGTCAGATTTCCAGGTGATGGTAACCCAGCTAAGGCTGTTGGAATAAATAACCAGGCAATGGAAGCAGGTCCATTAGGGTGAATAGGGAACTGCCCTACCAACCTCAGTCTGCTCTGAACCACTCCTCATCTTCATATTGACAACCAGTCAGGGAGTGGCGCTGCCTGTCATGGACTCTGGATCCACTTACTGTTTGCCTCCCTGCTTTCTGTCCCAATTTCATATTGGTGCCATGGGGTACCAGTCACCAATGGAAGCAGGAATGTTTAAATTAGGTCTGCATTCATTAATCTTAAAATTATCTGTGCAAATTTGTAGGTGAAGTAGGATTCCACCTTGAAAATTGCATTCTAACAGCTTTTGTCCCCCTCCCCCATCTTTTTCTTCTTTTACTCCTCTCTCCATACAGTAAAGGCCAGATCCTGTCCCAGGAATTGGCTGAAATCCCAGGGCAGCTGCTATGCATATTTTGACTCTCAGAAAACTTGGTCTGAAGCTGAGGTAAGAAGCTGTTTCTCACCAACCACGCTGTCACATCAGGTGCTGTGATGGGTTTCAGATGACATTTTTGTGAGGAGGGCTATCAGTGTGAGCTGTTGGGAGACAAGACCTGGCCATCATCTTGGTCTAATCAAAAGAGAGTTGCTCACCCATTGTGTTCAAGTAACCTGTTTCCACAGGAGCCAAGAAAGCTTAATTAACAGTCAGGAGAGATGGCCTGGCAAGAAGGTACCATCTCACAAGTGAAAAGATACAAGCTATCTCTGCCCCTTTGTCCCTCCAGCTTGCATGTGAGCAGGAGGGACCTCAGGGCTCACTCAGCTGGGGGGGGGGAGTGGAGCCTTCCCACCCCCAAGCCAAGAATGGCAACCAAGCTGTGTCATCCTCAGCTCTGCAGGGTGTTGGGATGAAAGTGCCTCATCTCTTGCAATGAGAGCTGTGGCCGTTTCACCCCATGCCTTGAGGGCTGGGGCCAATACAGATTGTTGTTTCAACATCATGGTGTATCGCCAGATTGTGATGTTTGGCTGGTGATACATCATGGTGTTGAAAACCTGACATCACCCAACTCTGGGGTTGCGCGCTCATCTCGCTCTATAGGCCGAGGGAGCCGGCGTTTGTCTGCAGACAGCCTCCGGGTCATGCGGCCAGCATGACTAAGCGCTTCTGGCAAACCAGAGCAGCGCACGGAAACGCCGTTTACCTTCCCGCCGGAGCAGTCCTTACTTATCTACTTGCCCTTTGACGGGCTTTCGAACTGCTAGGTTGGCAGGAGCAGGGACCAAGCAACAGGAGCTCACCCCGTTGCGGGGATTCGAACCGCTGACCTTCTGATCGGCAAGTCCTAGGCTCTGTGGTTTAACCCACAGCGCCACCCTCTTCTGAAAAGAGTGCAGCCAAATCATGACTATGAGCATTCTTCCTGCATTCATCCTAGTTTTTGTGTATGAGCTTCAAGTTGGTTTTCTTGCACCAAGATTGAGTGCTTGAAGCACCTTTAACTGCACTCGTGTGCAGCAGGTCCAGCAGGTTTCTTTAGTTTCCCAGCAGGTCCAGAGGATGGAGAAAGGGGCCTGGCTCCACTCACAGCATTTTCTTCACCCCTTTTTCTCTCTTCCTTCCTCAGCTGCTTTAGTTCCCATTTGAAAAACTTCCAACTCTCCACCACTGGTGTTTTATGATTTTTAAATAATTGTTATTACTTATTTGACAAGTTGTGAGCCACTCTGGGAAAGCTTTGTGGGAAAGAGTGTGTGTGTGTGTGTGTGTGTGTGTGTGTGTGTTAGTAATAGTGGTGGAGCTTATTTACTTGCTTGGCTATTCTCAGAATGAGTGCCTGAGCTTTGGCTGTGGGACCCATCTTGCCTCCATCCTCAATGAGAAAGAGTCAGATGCGGTGGCCAATTACATCTCTGCAAACCAGAAAAAGGCAAGCCAGGTCTGGATTGGGCTGCATGATCCCACTGAGGTGAGTTGCCTTTACTTTCTCAATTTCAGGCCATTGTCACTGAATAACGGCTTCTTAGCGTCACCATTCCATCCTTACCCGAATCGTCTCCCCAGATGACTCCAATATGTGACTTTTCCACAATTTTCTAATAGAATCCTCCTCTAATATTGCTGTGGAAGTGGGGAGATGATTAACATATTCAATCCTCCTGGCAAACTGGGAATATCCCCTCACTCACCCAAGTTTTGGATGTTCCACCATTCTCCAGCAGAGAGAATGTTCTTTGAGGAAAATAAGTGGCTCACGTAAATGTAAACTAAGCTTTGAATAATAAAGAAAACTGTAACAAAATAACAAAATAAGAGAAACTAAATACAACAACATGAGGCTAGTCTGAGGCAAGAAGCGAGAAGATGCAGTTGGTCCCTCTTAACTGATATCCTTAACGGAACACAGACACTGAAGGGAGGGGCTGATTCCAGAGCAAAACACACAAGTCCCGCCCACCAGATACCAAGCACTCTACTATTCAAATTAGGTCCCAGTGTTTTTTCCTACAAATACAATCGTACCTTGGTTCTCGAACACCTTGTGACTCTAACGTTTTGGCTTCTAAACACCGTAAACCCGGAAGTGAGTTTTCCAGTTTGTAAACGTTCTTTGAAACCCTAACGTCTGCTATGACTTCCGTAGCTTCTGATTGAGTGCAGGAAGCTCCTGCAGCCTATTGGAAGCCACACTTTGGTTTTTGAACATTTTCGGAAGTTGAACGGGCTTCCGGAAAGGATTCCATTAGAGAACCAAGATACAACTGTATCTCCATCATAACTTGTAATAGCTTCATAATTGGCCAACTCTCCACGTGATCTTTGCATTGGCCTCCTCGTTTCAAATGAATGTATCATCTGTTTTATCACATTGCTGCAGAAAGGACATTGGAGATGGTTGGATGACGAGATCTACAATTACAAACGCTGGGATTCTCATCGCCCAGACAACTACAACAATGAAGAATATTGTGTGCATCTGCTAAAGGACTCAGGTAAGCAAGCAATTTGTAGGGACTGATTAAAAAAAGGTTTCATGCCTATCACTCCATCAGTTTCAAGTATTTTAAAGGGTAGTATCTGACTTTAAAAATCAAAATGATCAAACTCAATATACTTTGGATAGTCATTGCTATTGATGGTCCATTCATTTGAAAGGTTTACTCTGGGTATTAGTTGAGTGAATACAGTGGCAGAGCTTCATGCTCTGGCACCAGGGGGGGCGGAGAGCAGGTGGGGCAGGGGCTGGTGCACATCCTGGGGGCAGGGGGCACTGCTTGCGGGGCTGGGGCGCCCAGCACTGGTGGGGGGAAGCCACGATGGCACCCTGCCCGGATCGCCCTGCCAGGGGCAGGACACTCCCCTCTCACTCCTCTTCCTCTGCCAGTGAGTGGATACACTCTCAGCCTGGTGCTTCTCTGTACTAAGGTTCACAAGTCAATATCTCTGGAGATCTGACCAGAAGTGGTCCAACTTATTGATCCTTTAAGGACACTTCCAATCATACCATGAAGCAGAATCTTTTTCTGCAGTCAACCTTCATTCTTCGGTTGCATGTGATCACATATTTTTTTCAGAAAACAGCGGTTGCCAAACTAAGGTCTGGGTTATGCCATCTTATATTCTATCATGTTTCTTAACAAAATGATTAGGCTCAACAGCATTATTATTATTATTATTATTATTATTATTATTATTATTTATACCCCACTCATCTGACTGGGTTTCCTCAGCAACTCTGGGTGTCTCCCAACAGAATATTAAAAGCACAATATAACATATAAGACTTTGAAGCCAGGTGATCAGTGAGTGACCTTCATATGTTTCGTTAGTTCTGGGTCACAGCCCTGCTGTGAGTCCTGAAAAGTCCAGACTCACTGGAACAAACTCTGGGGTTGGGGCAAATGTTGAAAATGCTTTTAAATGCTTTTAAATTTTTAATTTTTAATCTGTGGTGTTTAAAATTTGGGTTTTTTGTTTTGTTTTTGCTCTGTCGGGGGGGGAATAAACGTTTAGTTGGGCCTGGGGATTAGTTTAACTTTAGTATAATTATAAATTGTTTGTTGTTGTTGCTGTTGTTGTTGTTGTTGTTGCTTTCTACTGCTTTATTGGATTCATTGTATAGTTTGTATTCTGTTCTGAAGGGGAGAGGGTCAGGGCTGTCTGGGAGTGGGCCCCAGTCAACAGAATGGCTGGGGTGCACTTGGACACCTGATCTCAGTGATCATGGGTAGGAGGAGGAGTTACGCTAAGACCAGACCATGTCATTAACGAGGAGGCAGGTTTAGTTGTTGTTTGAAGACTATCCCTGCCTCTGGGTCTGGTCTTGACCACAAGGATACTGGATTCAACAAGGGAGACCCACATTACCTGAAGGTGCTGCTGTGCAGTGCCAGGTCAATGATTCACAAGACCACTGAGATACACGACAGGATGGAGGACTTGACCTGGCATATGTAACAGAGACTTGACTGGATGAAGAAGATGGGCCTGTCCTTGCCACTGCTTGTCTACCAGGTTTCTCTTACACACAGCAACCCAGCTCATATGGGCGGGGAGGCGAGGTTGCAGTGAGTTTTAGGAAGTCAATAGCTTGCACCAGGCATCCTATTGGGAAGACCCAGTTTTCTGAGTGTGTGTTCTGGAAGTTGGACAACAGGGGCAGTACAGGATTCCTTTTGGTGTACTGACCTCCCCACTCTATCAAGGGTTCCCTGCCTGAGCTGCTTCAGGTCGTGGCGGATGTTCTCCTGGAGACACCTAGTTTGGTTGTCCTAGGGGATTTAACATCCATGCTGACACGACCTTACAAGGCGCTGCTTGGGACTTCGTGGGAAAGCATGACCTCCATGGGGATGTCCCTGAATGAATTTCGCCCAACTCATTGTTGCGGACATGCCTTAGACCTGGAGTTCACCTCTATGGATGTGGGTGATCTGACACTAAGTAAAAGCGCAACAAAAGAAATGCCATGGTCAGATCACTTCCTGGTGCCGCAACCCTTTCCCTCTGCAGGGAGGTGGGACTGATTTGGACCCCCCCCCCCACTTAATGGATTCAAATGGTTTCCAGAGTGTAGTAGGGGATGTTTTATCTCATGTTGATGGCCTTTCAGCTGATTCCCCTCTGGCCCGCTGGAATGCAGAGTTAACCAGAGCTATCGACTGTCTGGCTCCAAAGCGCTCTCTCCAACTGCATGGAGCCTGGCAGCCTCATGGTTTTCCCCAGAGCTGAGGGTGATGAAACAATCACTGAGGTGGCAATAGCGCCAGTGGTGGAAATCAGACCAGAAACGGATTAGAGCTCAACGTTGAGCCTACCAAGTGGCAATAGCGACGGTGAAGAGGTCCTTCTTCACTGCCTCTATTGCATCTGCAGAAAACAGCAGCAGGAGACTCTTTCAGGTGGTTCATAATCTTAACAGAACCACCTTCACCATTGGGGCCTGGTAACGACCCCAAGATCTCCTGCAGTGATTTTGCAACTTTTTTGCAGGCAAAGCCGCTCAGATTCGGAAAGAGGTAGACGCCATCATGGGAGCAGGGCTGGGGCAGGAGAGTGCTAGAGTCCTGTCTATCCCAGTTGCATGGGATCAGTTCCAATCTGTTACCTCCGAGGATGTGGACAGGCTGCTTGGATGAGTGAAACTGACCACCTGTCTCCTCGATCCTTGCCCATCCTGGCTCATAAAAGTGAGCCGGGAAGGGCAGGGTGATGGGCTCCGGGGATAGTGAATGCTTTCCTCTGTGAGCAAGCTTTCCCGGAACCGCTGAAAGAGGCAGTTATTAAATCGCGTCTTTAAAAACATCTTTGGACATGGCCAATATGGACAACTATCACCCAGTCTCAAATCTTCCATTCTTGGGCAAAGTGACTGAGCAGGTGGTTGCTGAACAACTCCAAGCACGCCTGGAGGATGCGGACCATTTGGATCCCTTCCAATTGGGATTCAGGCCTCATCATGGGACTGAAACTGCCTTGGTCACGCTGGTCAATGATCTCTGGTGGACTAGGGACAAAGGTGAAAGCTGTTTCCTAGTTCTGCTGGATCTCTCAGCAGCCTTTGATACCATCAACCATGACATCCTTCTGGACTGTCTAGAGGCGCTAGGAGCTGGGGGCACTGTTATAATGTGGTTCTGCTCCTTCCTCCTGGGCCATGTTCAGAAAGTGGTGGGGGGGTGAGTGTTCAGACCCCTGGGCTCTCACTTGTTGGGTGCCTCAGGGTTCTGTCCTCTCCCCCATGCTTTTCAACATCTACATGCAGCCGCTGGGAGAGATCATCAGCGGGTTTGGGCTGGGTGTTCATCGGTATGCGGATGATGCCCAGCTCTACCTCTCTTTCAAATCAGAACCAGTGTAGGCGGTGAAGGTCCTTTTTGAGTGTCTGGAGGCAGTTGGAGGATGGATGGCAGCTAACAGATTGAGGCTGAATCCTGACAAGACAGAAGTACTGTTTTGGGGGGATGGCAGGTGTGGAGGACTCTCTGGTTCTGAATGGGGTAACTGTGCACCTGAAGGACCAGATGTGCAGCCTGGGACTCATTTTAGACTCACAGCTGTCCGTGGAGGCACAGGCCAATTCTGTGTTCAGGGCAGCTGCCTACCAGCTCCATCTGGTATGCAGGCTGAGACCCTACCTGCCTGCAGACTGTCTCGCCAGAGTGGTGCATGCTCTAGTTATCTCCCGCTTGGACTACTGCAATGCGCTCTGTGTGGGGCTACCTTTGAAGGTGACCCGGAAACTACAACTAATGCAGAATGCGGCAGCTAGACTGGTGACTGGGAGTGGCTGCAGAGACCATATAACACTGGTCCTGAAAGACCTACATTGGCTCCCACTACGTTTCTGAGCACAATTCAAAGTGTTGGTGCTGATCTTGAAAGCCCTCAATGGACTCAGCCCAGTATACCTGAAGGAGTGTCTCCACCCCCATCGTTCAACCTGGGCACAGAGGTCCAGCTCTGAGGGCTTTCTGGTGGTTCCCTCACTATTATTAAAGTCTGAATCCATTTTATTCCCCCTACACATCGGGGAAAGGAATAATAGGCAATAAGAAGTAACTTTCCTTATTTCTTGAATTATAATTTTTGTTTTGAATTTCAGGTTTTAAGAAGTGGAATGATGAAAAATGCAACAACAAGTACGCCTTCATCTGCAAGCAATAACTCTAAAGGAGACTTCCCTTCTCCACTGTGTTGGCTGGGAAGCTGCCTTGACATTATATGTATTTCTGCTCTCTCTCATCACTTTCAAAATAGCCATTGCTATAGAGATGCCTCTTCAATTCCCCCTTCCCTTTGAAATTTTCTTGGACCTGCAGCAGAGCATCAGCTTAATAAATTCTCTTCCATGCATATTTTCCTTATTGCATTGCTGTTCTGCTTTGTCCATCCATACTTACAAGCACGGCCACCCCACCCATGAGGCAAGGTGAAGTTCTTGCCTCAGACGGCAAGCTGGGATGGGTAGCAGATTGGCCTCCTGCTCTTGTTGACTGTCTCCTCCGTCTCCACCAGCCTGCCCTGCTTGCATCCACATTCCCTCCTATAATGCAAGGACATCATAGATGATAGGAGAGACCTGCCCCTGTTACATGGGTGCATTGTGTATGTGCCCTGAGGGAATGGCGAAGAGAATGATGATGAGGGCATTGGCACTGGAAGGCCTTTTCTGGGTGAGTGCCAGCTGCCCACAAGTGGGGACCTGGGGGTGAGTGACAGGGGTGTCATGTGAGCTGGAATTGCATGGGGTGGCAGGAGCTGAAGTCACAGGAGGAGAGAAGCTTATCCTGGCTCTGCCTTTACCTCTTCCACAAACCCAAGTGCTCAATCCCTTCCTGAAGCCATTTACTAGGTACTGGAGTCAGGAACATTGGCGTGTTGCTGTTAGTTAGGATAAGCCTGACTTTCAGCATAGCTGACAAGAAAGGCTGTAGAGGATTGGTTCCTCCTTTGCAAGGTGTGTAGTTCTTGGGCAGGCAGATGAAGCAGGAAAGAACAGCATCCCCTACCATGTAAAGGAGGCCCATTGTCTTTTAGACTTCTTAACGATGATTCTTGGGGGTGCAGTTTTCTCATTTGCTTCAGTTGCCAGTATGCCTTGGGCTGGCCCTGCCTTGGGGACACTTCTTCTACCATCACCACTGCTCACAACACACAGAGCATTCATACCTCAAAGTAGCTACAAATCCCATCCTAAAGCACACTCATTTTCTCAGAGCTCCTCAGCACGGTTTATACTATGACCAGAATTGTGGAAGCCATAAAGTGAGGATAGGGAAATTTACAAGAGGACCCCACAGCATGTGACTGTTGGGATACATCCGGGGAGACGGGGGCAATTGGCAGGCCCCCAGCTGGCTCTAGCCCACCGGCCGGTGGCCGGGCAAACTCCGGTTCTTGGAACAGCATCAAAACTGTGACTCAAGCCTCAGAGACCTTTAGAGACTGAGCATGCAAGCTAGCAGAGATAAGAACTATTTGCAGCAGAAGTAGAGGACAGAGGCATATGTAAGCACATTTACAAGCATTTATTCAGCATCAGGACAAAGGAAAAAACATGTCTGCTTCCCTTTGTGTCCAAGCAAACGGCATAGGCAAAAGCTATATACAAGGGAAGTTCCCAACAGACTGTGCTGGAAGTAAACAGGCATGTGACATACAACAACTCTACATGCCTGTTCTAAAGGTGGAACGGAACTATATCCTAGCAGTGACCTCTGACAAGGCCTGGGATGCTGCATTGTTCATTCCACCAGCCCCAGCAAAAAATGCCTAGATCTTCCAGTGCAGCCTGGATAGAAGGAGAAATACTCTTAAGCATTCACAGTTACACACAAAACATTTTGCCAGTCACGATAAACAGAAAATTACAACACATGTGTTTACGTAAGAATTTTAACTTGGTGCACCTGTGAGATGTTTGATGGCTTTATGGTTGTCTTTCTGATTCATTTTATATTTTTGTTTTGTGCAATGGCTACGGTATATCAATAAGCAACAGCCCCGTGCTGACAAGCAGACATGGCAAATGGGGTGGGGCATAGGCATTTCACAAATGTTTTCTCAGTAGGAAGAAAGCATCGTTCTTTCAAGCAAGGTAATTCTGAGTAGCCACCCAATTGCCTTTTATACTGTAAAGGCAGCATACTTGGGGAATGACTGAAATCATGTTGAAGCGGAGGAAGGTGCTTTAACAAACCTATCTCAGTACAGAAGCAGACTCTTGTCCTTTGCCTGATGTCAGGGCTAGCAGCAAATACCACCAGCTTCCCCTGTTCCTTTTCTGCTGCTCTGGGAGGCTCCCCTCCAGAGTCCCAGGTTCCTTCCTCTGATTGCTTAGCAGCAGCAATTATGTGATTAAGGATCCTTAGCAATGATGCTGCCTGTCAAAGGCTCAGATGGTTGCCTCTATGTTCCTTTTATCCCCTCCCACCTGGTGACCCTGTTTGTACTATTTAATTGCCTTTAAATGTATTAAGAGCTGTAACTCAACCAGAATGGTACGGATTGCTGTCTTATAGTGGTGGCGTTGTACCAGGACTCATGCCTGCAAGCATTCCAGATTCTGGATTTTCCAGAATTTCCAGATTTTCTCTCCCCCCCGCCCCTTAAAGTAAATCTCTACCTGCCTAGAAGGAAATCTAGCAGTTTCTCAGACAGACAACTAGCATGCCAGCAATTTGTAACTATTTTTAGGTTTGACTGCAGTGAGCAGCACTGCTGGGGGCAGAGTCTCTTAGGTGCTGTGCTCCTCATTCCCTATGACCACCACCTAAACTTGAGTTGGTGCTCTTGGACCTTGAGTTGCAAAGATGGATGGACTGAGAAGGTCATAGTCACGGGTTGCCGCAAATGGCTGCAGAGAGCGAGCCTTGAAGGCTCAATTGTTGAGAGGGGCTAGGGGGAAACACAAGGGTACTGTGCACCCCTAAAGAAAGCTCAAAAGGGAGTTTTGGTTGCAGGGCTTTGGCAGCGCCGAATTGCGAGCTCCCCTGATAACCCCACCACTCTGAAAGGGGAGGTGGCGGGAAAGACAGGGTTAAGCCAAAGGGCAATAATCCATTGCTAACCCCTCCCCCCAACGAGAAGCCTCAGGCTCCGGCTGTAAAGTGGTAACGTCTGTTGAGGGAGAGGGCCCAACCCATTTGCCGTCTTGCCCTGAGCTCCCTAGTCCCACTTCACCTCACCAGGAAGCGAGCTTTGCTTGATTACATTTCAACACTTGCTGGATCCAGGGATTAGAGGGGTCTGGCACCCCGCTCCCAACTCATAACATTACTATGTCAAATTGACCTTTGCACCAACTATTTCTTAACAACTATTTCTTAACAAGGGTGACTTGGCTATAGGGGTGGAATAGGCATTAGAAACCATGCTTTGGGTTTGCATAACTTGCACAAAGAGCTACAGTTTGTCAAGTTCCTTCTTCTGCAGAACAGTTACATTTGCAGGATCCCTTTCACCTTTTGCACCAGGTCATACTTATTATCTACTTGCAAATTTGTTCTACCTCTTTCCTTCTGATTTTATGTGCCTCTCTGCCAGGGGTGCCAGCTTGGGGGTGGGGCTGAGCTCTTTGGGCGCCCCAAATGATTTTTCTGGCTGGGGCGGAGCTCCCATAATATTCAGGGGACAGAGGAGGCTGGGCACCAAGCCGCAGTTCCCATGGCTGGTTTCTCCTCCTCCCCCCCGGATGTTCCTCTTTTCTGTGTGTATTATTTTTATTAATTTTTTCTATTTTACAATTTAGTATATTCATTTAAACAACCTTTCCTAGTTTCCTAGTTTCCTAGTTCTGCTGGATCTCTCAGCAGCCTTTGACACCATCGACCATAACATCCTTCTGGACCGTCTAGAGGCGCTGGGAGCTGGGGGCACTGTTATACGGTGGTTCCGCTCCTTTCTCCTGGGCCGTGTCCAGAAAGTGGTGTTGGGGGATGAGTGTTCAGACCCCTGGGCTCTCACTTGTGGGGTGCCTCAGGGTTCCGTCCTCTCCCCCATGCTTTTTAATATCTATATGAAGCCGCTGGGAGAGATCATCAGCGGGTTTGGGCTGGGTGTTCATCAGTATGCAGAATACACCCAGCTCTACCTCTCCTTTAAATCAGAACCAGTGAAGGCGTTGAAGGTCCTGTGTGAGTGCCTGGAGGCGGTTGGAGGATGGATGGCGACTAACAGATTGAGGTTGAATCCTGACAAGACTGAAATACTGTTTTTGGGGGACAGGGGGCGGGCGGGTGTGGGGGACTCCCTGGTCCTGAATGGGGTAACTGTGCCCCTGAAGGACCAGGTGCGCAGCCTGGGAGTCATTTTGGACTCACAGCTGTCCATGGAGGCGCAGGTTAATTCTGTGTCCAGGGCGGCTGTCTACCAGCTCCATCTGGTATGCAGTCTGAGACCCTACCCGCTTGTGGACAGTCTTGCCAGAGTGGTGCATGCTCCAGTTATCTCCCACTTGGACTACTGCAATGCGCTCTACGTGGGGCTACCTTTGGGTTTTTTTTTTAAAAATGATATTTATTCCAAATTTAAAGTTACAAAAAAGAGAAAGAAAAACCATACAAAGTACAAAGAAAACTTTAACAAAGCGAAAAATGAAAAGATAAAGTGAACAATAAAATAGAATAAAAAGAAGTCTTAACAAAATATTTAAAAATGCATTATGTTAAAATAAAACAAAAACAGATTTAACCTTTACATAGCCTTTTCCCTTTACTTATTTCCATGACCCCCTCTCACCTCCCAATTTTGTATTCTAGTTCAAATCGTATTTCCAGCAAATCCTTCTAACCTTATTTTCATTTACGTATTTTAAAATTTAAATAATGTGATTAAACCTCCTCTATTTCATGAAATTCATCAACTCGTTTTTACTTAATCCTTTATATCATATCTACCAAAACGACCTAATTTTCTTTTTCCAACCTCTTTCTAACAGTCTTTTATATTGCAGTATTTTTGAAGATATATTTTGAATTTTTTCCAATCTTCTTCCATTGACCCTTCTCCCTGGTCTCAAATTCTGCCAGTCATCTCAGCCAGTTCCATGTAGTCCATCACTTTCATCTGCCATTCTTCTCGGGTGGGCAATTCTTGTGTCTTCCAGTACTTCCCGATGAGTATTCTTGCTGCTGTTGTAGCATACATAAAAAATGTTCTATCCT